CTATATAAGAGTATGTTGGATGCAGTACTTACGATTCTCCTAGCCGCACTGTCAGCTCTTGTCCGACTGCGCGCATTTTATACCGAGAAGGGCGTGTTGAGCTAGCCCCACGGCGTTTCGTTTCACTGGATCTGATTCGACGAGAACGCGCGTAGCAACTCGCCAGGGCCAATCGCGCGCGGCCGTACATCGCAGGAGCGGAATCCCGTGCAATCTCCCAATATAGTCGGTATCGTGTCCACGTAAACGTCAGAAACGCGAAAATCGGCTTGTGCGTGTGGGTTGGGTGCGGCCTATCCCGGGCCTCCGGAAGATCGGTGCTGCGGTATATTGCCCGATATCGTATAACCGGGTTTTAGTTTCACCAGTGGTAGCCGGCATCGCCTACGGTAGAATCACTCTATTCCTCCATATAATCAGACCGTTAGTATGATAGTACAATTAGTACATAATTGGTACGAGTACCGTACTGAACGAGTACTTTAAGTTCACGATTAGTCTAAAAGTACTATTACGTACAGCGTCAGACTGAAAGAACTGAAACAGACTGAAACTACGTCTAACGGAGAAATCCAGCATAGATGGGTTCTGGTGGTAGACGCACAACCCGGGCTGTCCTTTCTCGTGCATGTAGACGCGTATAAAGACGTAACCCTGGTTACTTTTCTACCCGAATACCCTTTCCTCTTGTGGGCGCGTATAACTCTGGCTCCATTACCTCGACGCGGCTCGTAGCTACCACAACACAACGCGTTAAAACTAAAACTAGAAGCGCGACACGTGTCGGTAACACACGCGCGTGTGAATTGCGATGTTCTGCGTCTCGACAGATGTCGACTTCCGACGCCGACGGTCGCCCCCCGCGTGCGCGCGTGTGCTCTACAACGATCCGTGCGTAATCTGACATGTAAACAAACCGGATTCCAGGCGCGGCTTACCCCGCAGGCTTCCCAGCACGCGCGCACCCCGGCCACCGCAGGCGCGCAGGGTCCGCGGCGGCCGAGAGAGATCCAGCGAGCGTTTATACTCGAGTGTCACAGGGTTAGCGGGGAGTTGTGGTCGTGGTTGTTTGCCGCGCGCGCAGCATTTACTCCGCGACACAATGCCCCCTTACCCGTCCGTGTAAGGAGAACAAGAGAGCGGTGGAAGAGGAAAGGGGGAGAGAGAGAGAGAGAGAGAGAGAGAGAGAGAGAGAGAGAGAGAGAGAGAGAGAGAGAGAGAGAGAGAGAGAGAGAGAGAGAGAGAGAGAGAGAGAGAGAGAG